CCCATATCTCCTGGCCCCCCCAGGCCCTCATGGAGCCCCTGGAACACCCCCCCCCCCCTCTGGGAACCCCCCCCCCCACACCATCAGACCCTACCCAGGACCTTCCAGACTGCAACCCTGGCCCCCTAGACCTTCCCCCCGGTGACCCCTTCAGTTTCCCCAGGACCCTTCAGCTGCCCTGACTGGCGGCATCTCCTCTGCAGCTTCTGGAGCTCAGGGGAGCCCAACAATGCGGGCACCGAGAACTGCGTGACAATGCTGCCCGACGGGCGCTGGAACGATTTACACTGCTACAAAACCGACTACTGGATCTGCGAGATGCACTGGCTCTGCTAAGAGGGGAGTGCTGGGAGCTGGCTTAGAGTCCCCTCAGGATGTCCTATGCCTCAGTTTCCCCTCCTGCCCTTAGGGGACTCAGGGGCTGCCCCTCCCTGGGTCCTTACCAGCCTCTTTGCCCCCTCCAGATACCGTTGCACACCTCCCTTCTTTCTGTGGGATGGAGGAAAACATGGGGAGCACCTGCCTTGGTGGTGCTGGGGTGCAGATATGGAGGGCTTCCCCCTTTCTGAGGGACCTGGGGGTACTGGGTGGGTGCTGGAAGACTGTCAGCAGGGGTGGTGGGGCTTGTGACTCCTTGAGGGAATCCAGGCATCCGGCCATGACCTGGCCTGTCCCCACCAGGCCTCTGCACCCTGTCCCGAAGCCGGGGGCCATATCTTCATTGCGCTCATTAAAGCTAATGAAGCTAATGAGCAGTCTCCTGCCTGGAGCATGTGGGGCCTTGTCTGTGCCTAAGCTGAGTTGGGTTGGGGGTGGGGGGGTCAGGCTGCCCCTTTTCAGAGGGGTTTATTCTGGTGGGGGGCAGGGAATGGGGGGGAGAACCCCCCTGAGGAGTCACAGGGCAGTGGGTCAGGGGACTCGGGTGACTCCAGGCACAGTCTGTGGGGGGCAGACAGAGGCACGGGGAGGAAGCGATAGCGGTGTGGCTGAACATGTGCAGCCTTGGTCCCTACACACATTCCAGATGGAGCCTCCCCAGTCTTGTCAAGGCTCCTACCCCCCAGCCTGAGAGGAGGGTACGACTCGGTGTAAAAGTCCCCCTGCAAGAGGTGAGAGGTGGGTATCACCCTGTGTGCAAGGATTTGGCCTGGCCTGCAGTAGCCACTAGGAGTGGCCGGGGGGTCAGCGAGAAAGGAGCACTGAGGACCCAGGCCTTAGGCAGAGGGCACAGGGACTGAGCTCTAGGAGTGCAGAGAGGGGCAATGTGAGAGGCAGGGTCCTTGAAGCAAGCCAAGATCCAGGCCCAGGGCTCAGTGGTTCCAGGGGACATCCCAGGTCAGGGGCAGGAAAAGTCACAGCCGAGCCAGGAGAAGCAGCAAGTGGTGTTGCCGGTGCCACCAGAGGCTATGGGGAGCCATGCCACTGCCTGAGGCTGCCATGGTGCTGCTGAGGGGTGAGTCGTGCCTTCAGCAGTCAATGGGTGCAGAGACCTGGGGTGATTGCATTAGCCGGGGATGAGGGGCAGGTGTGGGAACTCAGGTGCTTGACCCACCCGGGCATGCCTGATCACTCAGAGGCCCAAAGGAGCCCGGGTGGCAGGGGAAGTACCCCAGTATGGACCCCTCAGCCAGGTCTGCAGGTGCCCTCACGTTGGATTCTGGCTCCCTCAGGAACTGTGGACTCTGCATTCACTTCTTGCTTGGCTATGGCAAGGTACCATAATGTCTTGTGTGCTTTATGCAGCTGTGTCCCCAAAGGGTCTGGCAGGCAGGGGATATGCCCCGGTGTTGAACCCTGAGGAGAAGGTCCTGTGGGCACCCCCTCATTGGATTCTGGATCCCTTGGGAAACACAGACTCCTTGTGTTCTTTTTCTCAACTATGGCAAAATACTGTGATGCCCTGCATACCATGTGCAGTTTTCTCCCCCAAATCAGCCCTACCCTAACCCCAACTTTGGAGTGTGTATATGAAGTGAGCACACTGATTTTCAGCTCTACCCCTGCTTGAGTTCCTTGGGTTTCATTGCAGCTTGCAAAGAAGATCCCCCGAGGCCTGGGGAGAGTACCGGGGTGGCTGGCATGGGGGTACTAGCTGTGGAAGGTGGGGTTGAGGACAATCTGCCTGTCCCTGCAAAGGAGGTTGATGGAGATGGTCTGTTCTCTGAGGTGTATGGTGCTGTACACATAGGTGCCCAGGGGTGTACAGAGGCCCTTGGCCATGCCTGCAGGGAGGGGTCATAGATAAGCACTTCCTCTGCATGCAGTGACTGCAGACCCAGCATAAAAAACTCATGGCATGAGGGCAGTGCCTTTGCCCTGGATGGTATTTGCCAGGACTGCCTGGAGCCCCTGGACATAGTGGGCAGCACAGGGGCCAGGAGAGCACCTAATCCCCCCACCTCCCTCAGGGGTACCCAAGGACAGGTCGGTTGGGGGGTGGAGGGGTCTGAGTCTCCAAGAGGGTCTGGAGGGGGTGAGGGAGGGGTGTCTCGTGGGATGCTGACAGGCTGGACTGGGGGATCAGCTGCATTGGGGCACATGAGGGGCTCTGATCAGCTTGGGGGGTTGGCAGATGGACAGAGAGGGCTGTGCCTGGGACTAGACAGATGGACAGAGGGTGAGACATGGGGGCTGAATGGAAGGATAGACAGGTGTAAATGCACATGGGGTGATAACCGGGTGGGGGGATAGATGGATGTACGGACAGGCAGACAAACTGAGGGGATCAAGGGAAAGATGAAGTGAGAGAGAAGAGGTGGATGGGGAGAGATGCACAGAAAGGGGCATATGTATGCATAGACAGACAGACATATGCCAGGCACTGGGGCCTCTCACAGGGATTCCCAGCATGGATGGTGGAGATGAGGGAGGGACCTTGAACCTACAGCCCTGAGGAAGGGGAAGGGGGGCATGAGTCTGTTGCCATGATGCCCCCAGCATACCATGGTGTCTCCCAGGTAAAGGGGCGCTGATGGGCAGGGAGAGCTGCTATATATTGTACCTTTATGCCCTGAATGCCATGTCCTTCCTGCTGTGGACCATGCTGCTGGCTGCCATCATCCAGAAGTGTAAATGGGGGGCAGGGGGTGGGCATGATGGAGTTAATTCAGTCCCCCCAACCCCAAGCAGGGCCTCTGGGGGGGTTCCATGTAGTGGGTGCCCCCTTCTATACCCCCACAAAGCTCTGGAAGTGGGGGGTGCAGGTGGTTGAACACAGAAATCACAGAACGCAACACACCTTTTTCTCCACTGAAAGAAACTAGAAGAAGCTTTACTAGCAAGCTTGGGGGGGGGGACTCCTGATCCAGCACTCAATTGAGGATCAAGGCAAAAGCCAGTTATAAGTATTGGAGCAGAGGTTTGGAGCAACGACCCCTGGGAGCTGCCTGTGTTGCTGACCGTCTGCCACTGACTGCCCCAGAGGGAACTCAGTCCTGTCCCTTATTGTGCAGCTGATTATCATCGGATGGAGCCCCTGAGCTTTGTGCTTGGGTCATGCCGATTGCTGCAGGAGCCTACTCTGTTGCTTTTCGGTTGCCACGGAGGGTCACTCTTCAGCTGCTTTGCGGGGTTGGGGTTTGATACAATGTGATTGCTGCAGACCAGAAGAGCTTACATTGTTGCAGTCTGTCGCTTATTGGGAAGCCTGTTGGAGCTGCTGGAAGCGAGCACCCTGCTTCCTTGCTGTAGCATCTCAGCAGTGGCTGAAAGCTGCCAGTTACCCTACCTGGGATTCTTGAGTCAAGGGTTGACTAATGCATTCTGGTTTGTTTTGTGATTCTGGTTATGCCATTTAAGTTCATTGGTAAACAACCTTTCCTATTATTCTTGTTTTGTAAATAAAGTGTAAATAGTTAAATCAGTTAAGTGTTAGACTTTGGGAGCATGGGCTGCTCTGGGGAGCAGGGGCCTGCTGGAAAGTAAATTGGTGCTGGCTGGAAGCCCTGCCCCACTCTCACCACACCATCCCTGATATTGGGCAGGGGTGGCAACTATTGGGCCATCACGCTGGTTACATTAGAATTGTTTTATTATATAAGGGCCAGAGCAGGCATCAGGGCAGCCCCGCAGCCCGCAGCTTTGGAGCTGGGGAACAGCATCAGACCCAAAGCAGGGGGAGGGGCGGGGGGGAACAGGGTTGAACCTGAAGCAGGGAGGGGGAAAGTGGGGGTAAAGGGAGGAGCGTGGTTGCACCAGAAGCGGGCTGGACGAGGAGTGGTGGGGCGGGAGGAGGGGCACTTGGCCAGACACTGGGCTCTGTCCCTGCCGGTCTCCCTTCCACCATCATGTCCGGCAATTTGCTAGTAATGATAATAAGATTAATAATTAGAACAACAACAATAATAGTAGTAGTATTACTACTATGAATAAAGACTGAGATAGTAAATAATAAATCACTTCTTACTTTCTCTTCACTGTTTAGTATGCCGTAAACCCTTCTCATGTCCCCCCTCAAGCATCTCTTTTCTGAACTGAACAGGCCTGGCCCCTTAGTCTTTTTGCATATGGAAGCCTCTCCATAGCACGTATACAGTTTAAAATGCAAGCAAAAAGCAAATATAATCATTGTCAGGTACATGGATTTGCAATATAGCAATGATATAGAGCAAATGGTTTCATAGTTTCATAGTTGGTAGGGTCATAGATTCATAGATTCATAGATGTTAGGGTCGGAAGGGACCTCAATAGATCATTGAGTCCGACCCCCTGCATAGG